TGCGGGCGGTGCCGGGCGCCGTGGGGCGTCCCGCGGCCTCCGAGGTGCTGAGCCGGCATCTGGCGCAGCGCGGCCTGCCGCCCTGGACCTCGTTCTGCGTCAAGTACAGCGCCGTGCGCAACGACCAGTTCGGCCGCTCCCACTTCAACTGGGCCGTGCGCGGCACCAACTACTGCGTGCTGCGCACCGGCTGCTTCCCCTTCGTCAAGTACCACTGCTCCCGCGGGCCGCCGCTGCCCCTGGCCCGCCTCGACGCCGCCCTCGGCGCCATCAAGATCATCAACGCCGGTGAGGGCCGCCCCCTCCCCTCCGGCCGGGGGGCGGGGGCGGGGCAGTAGTGGCAGCAGTACTGGTGGTAGTCGTCATAGCGACAGCAGTCGTGGTAACAGACAGTGGCAGTAGTCATAGCGGCAACCCGAGACAGTGGCCGTGGCGGTCATAACCGTGGCAGTAACGACGGAGACAGGGCTAATAGTGGCAGCAATACTGGTAATAGTAATAATAGTCACTAGTGGCAGTGCCCACAGTGATAATAGTGGTCGTAATAATAGTGGCAGCAATAGTAATGGTGGCAGCAGTGACAGAAGGAATAGTGGACAGTAATAAACAGCGATAATGGGGGGGTGGTAATGGTGGTAGCAATACTGATCATGGTAATAGTGGCAGTAATAATAGCGACTAGTAGCAGTAATCGTGACGGTGGTAATAGTGACCGTGACAGTGCTGGCAGTAATAATAGTGGTAGTAATAGTAGTGGCAGTCATAGTACTAGTAGGGACTAGTAATACAGTAGTGGCAATAGTGACAGTAATCGTGATAGTGACAGTAGTGGTGGCAGAGACAGTAATGACTGCAATAGTGACAGTAACAGTGCAAGTAGTAATAGCGGCAGTAATCATGACCGTGGCGGTCACAGCAGTAGTGACTCATAGTGGCAGTAATCGTGACTACTAATAGTGGCAGTGGTAACAGTGGCAGTAGTCATGGGCCAGTGCCAGGGGTGTAGAAAGCCCTGCACACTTGTTCACAAGCACGGTTGGGAGACGCTTTGAAGCAGCAGCATAGCTGGCAGGGGAGAGCGGGGGTGGGCAGCCGGGGGGGTCCAGGGGTTCTGCAAGAGGCAGAGGTTTCTCAAGGCGCGCTCTCGTGCTGGACGGACGGGCTGCGTGGTTGGGGTGAAGTTAGACTCGAATGCAAGGCGTTCTTGGTCAGGTCCGGGACGAGCCTGGTAACGTGCAGGATGATCTTGGTGTACCGCGCAGGTAGGACTGTTCATGGGTGGTTGATAGCAGTTATAACGAAGGTTATGGGTCTTTTGTGTTAATGCAGATTGTTGGGACTGAAGTGTTTGATTTGGACCACAACAGTGACTTCCAACTTAGTAAGATTTGCAAAGAGGTAATTTTTGTTTAAACCAGGTGGCATCTCTGATTCTGACCTGTCTATCGAGACAGCATCTGTCGATATCTTCCTGCTGCTGCTGTGTCCTTTAAGACATAGCCTTATTTCTGTTTGCACAATGGTAAATCTCCTATCCAGGCCCTCCTCATTTTTTTTATAGATTTCATAGATTTTAGGGTCGGAAGGGACCCTATTAGATCATCACGTCCAACCCTCTGCCCCGGGCAGGGAAGAGTACTGGGGTCAGATGACTGGAGCCAGGTGTCTGTCCAATTTCCTCTTAACTACCTCCAAGGAAGGGGACAGCACCACCTCCCTTGGAGCCCATTCCATATTTTGGCAACCCTCACTGTAAAGAATTTTTTCCTGATGGCCAGTCTGAATTTGCTCTTTTTCAGTTTGCAGCCATTGTTTCTAGTTACCCAACGGACGTCCTGGTAAACAGAGTCCCCTGTTTCCTGCTGTCCCCCCAGTGAGTTTGTAGGCAGCCACAAGATCACCTTTCAGCCTTCTGTTGCGGAGACTGAAGAGATTCAGGTCCCTCAATCGGTCCTCATAGGGTTTTTTCTGTAGGCCTTTAACCAGATGGGTGGCCCTCCTCTGAACCCTTTCCAGGTTATCTACATCCCTCCTGAAGTGCAGCACCCAAAACTGGACACAGTACTCCAGCTGTGGTCTGACCAATGCTGCATAGAGGGGAAGTGTCACCTCCCTAGACCTGTTTGTCACGCACCTACTTATGGAAGAAAGAGAGCGGTTAGCTTTACTTATTACCTCGTCACACTGGTGACTCGTGTTCATTCTGGAGTGGGCTCCGACTCCGAGGTCCCTTCCGCAGTTGTTCTACTTCGAGCGGGACCTCCCAGGCTATAGGAGTGTTGATGATTCTTCCTCCCCAGGTGCAACACATGGCACTTATCTTTGTTAAACTGCATCCTATTCTGTTCCACCCACTTCCCCAGCCTGTCCAAATCCACCTGGATTTGCTCCCTGCCCTCTAGTTTGTTCACCTCCGCCCATAGTTTGGTGTCATCTGCAAACTCGGACAGGGTGCTTTCTACTCCCTTGTCCAAGTCGCTGATGAAGATATTGAACAGTCCTGGTCCCAGGACAGAGCCTTGAAGGACTCCGCTGCCCATGTTTCTCCAGGTAGAAACCTCTTAATTAGTAATGACATAATCTCCACTTCTCTGGCCCTTCTGATAAGTGACAAATACCTCCTATAACTTTTTTTTTTTAAAGCACCTGTTATAAAGGATCATCTTTCAGACAACTGCTCTCCTTTTCAGAGAACCAGGTTCAGAAATGTACTGAAGCACACCTGGTTACAGGCGGTCCTGGTGAAGTCACTGGGACTACGCGCGTGGTAGCAGCTCACCATCGTTCTGACTTTGTTGCTTCCCACTCATTACATTTGAACTTAAACCAGGTCTTAAAAGGCACTAACTGTATTCGTTTTTCCCTTCATAGCCATTATTCTAGCCTCTGTGTTGGTGTGAGTTTTCATGACAACTCTGCAGTATTTGACAACTTTTTCTTTCTCATAGGTATCCCAACCTTATTATATGGAATTATCTCCTGGTTCTTTGCCAATGTCACAGAAACTGTTCACACAAGCTGTGGCCCAGTGACTATCTATTTTCTAAATAAAGAAGATAAAGGTGCCCTGTACTGAAATTATGTATTCGATTGCTTCTCATCTGGTGGGTTTTCACATTGCTTTATTATTGTTGTTTTTAATGTTTGCTCTGTTTCAAATATAAAGAAAGCAACAGTCTGTTTTCAGTGCATTGTTTTCAGACTTTCTCAATTTATTGTGTTCAGCTACAACATTTTTCTTATTTGGGCAGAGGGAAGAAGTGAATGTTAGAGTCAGTGAAGATGAAGAAATCAACAGCTTTGGAAAATGAATTGATTCTGCTGTCCTCAGAGGTGTTAGCTGTCAAATCAATGACTGAAATACTTATTATTGGGAATAATGGGTTTTTTTCCTGTTGATATACATTCAGCTATGATGATAATTGAAATATATCTTTAAGCAAGCAAGTTCTCTAAAAATGTTACATATAATTATAAATGACTTGGATTTTGGATTCTATGTATACAGTGGATTCTTTCAGATTGTGATTATCCTTGCAGCTACTCACAGTCTGAAAGTGTCTATTATTATACCAGCCTGTTTTATACAAATGTAGTGAAGTGCTCAGTTAAGCACCCATCCCAAGATTAAAATCCACATGAACAGAATATCATCTGTGTGCATCTAAACACTCTCATTTTAAACACATTTTAAAAACTAATTATCAGTTGCTTCCATCTTTATCTTTTGGTCCTTGAACTCAGGGTTCTGTGTTTCTTTTGTTGCATTTAGTTTATCCCTAACATGTCCAACAGTCTGAAAGATGCAGTTCCCTACTCTTCTTTACAGATTATTGATACTGGTAGCCACTGAAAAAAACCGTGTCATTCTTCTAAGGTCAACTAAATGTCATTCTTCTAAGGAAAAACTAAATGTTTTCACCTATTATTAATATTCCTAGATGTTAGTATTCCTAGATGATTGGAGATTAAAAGAGTACTTAAATTCAAAACTTGGTGAAGAGAAGGTTTAGTGGGAGCCAGCCATCAAACTAATCAAGAGTCTGAGCGGAAAAAAACAGTGTCATTCTTCTAAGGTCATGGCACACAGAGAAAACTAAATGTTTTCACCTAGTATTAATATTCCTAGATGTTAGTATTCCTAGATGATTGGAGATTAAAAGAGTACTTAAATTCAAAACTTGGTGAAGAGAAGGTTTAGTGGGAGCCAGCCATCAAACTAATCAAGAGTCTGAGCGCTGAAACCTTCCTAGTCAGCCCCCAAAAGAGAGGTTTATTTGTTTTTAGAGTTTGGGATTACTTTTTGGTGTTAGTAATGAGGGACTTGTAAACTTAGTGGCCTAAGCCATTTTTCACCTCTTGCACAGAAAGGATGTGTACTAAGTACAGCCACTCAAAGCAGGAGGCAGAATTGTCACTTTTCCAGAAAGGTAGTGATCACTACTAGTAGAGAAAAGCCAAGAAAGTGCTCAGAAAAAGATTGGCACTGAAAAAGTATGGTAAAACAACACAGTAAAGAAAGGGAGCTGTGGGAGAGAGAGACATTACTTTTGGTATAAATGACATTGTGCTGGTCAGGGGAATCTCAGGTGCTTTTAAAAAACAAAACAAAAGTAAGCTCATTTGCACCTGGGAAGAGGGAAGAGAATTGAAAGGTGTTCTTAAAGACAGTATCTAGGTTATACCTCTGTGTAGCTAGTTATATAGCAAGTTTCTGAAATATCCAAACAGTTTAGAGAGAGCAGAGATCTAGATGCGAATCTTTCAAATCTTGCGTGTCATTTGAATGATGGAAATAATACAGCCCAAGTAGAGTTACTTGAGGATGAACAGAGACACTTTGTTGCATAACAGCTGTCTGACCGGTGTAAGAGACATTTGTATGCTGTGAATGGTTTTGTTTTAAAGTATTGTTCAGCAAGTAATGTCTTTTGTATTGAAAATAAATGTGCGAAAGACTTAATACAATCACTGGTGTGAAGCTTGGTTTACACAAGAGTGTTTTGTGGATAGAAATAAAGTTCTGTCAACAAAACCTTGTGTTCATCTACCTGCGTAATGCCCAAAGGCTAACAACAACCTAGGTTTGTGTCGGCTAAGACATACCACCTCCCTTAGTGACACAATGATCATGTCATTATAAACCAAACGAATAAGGACGTTCTTTGGCTCATTTAGTGCAGGAAGACTGCTGCAGCTAACGTGATGCCACCTGTTCTGGCCATGGTTATTGCCAGTGTGGGTATTATTATTGTCCAAATTCAAGCTGGAAATGGTGGCCCACCCCCCTTCTCATGTTGCTCCTAATCTCCCTTCTGTGTTGGGAAAACCTCTTTCCTTGTCCTGCCACCTGTGCAAGTGGACAGGTATGGCTTGCCACAGAGAGGAATACACTCTGAAACCCTGTCCTTCTGATTAGAGCAAGAAGGAAGTGCTGGTCCTCCTCAGCCGTTGGGGAGGTGCAGCTATTCAGTATCAGAATTGTGGGAAGAGTCACTTACAAGGGCAGAGCATGGCAGTGAGTTCAAGTGGGCTCCCTGCCAGCTCTACCACAGGGTTAACGTGTGGAACAACAAAATGGGAGCGGCTTCATCGATGTGCCCCTTTTTGTTGAGAGCCTCACACCATTTTTTGGCAGGGACTGAGCCATGACACTGACTGTGGATATCCTACAGGATCTCGAGGAGGGAACCTCCAAAGCAGTGAGGTGGACACTGATACCTTGGACAAGCAGGAGGGAGATTGCCAAGGCAGATCATAACTCACTGTGCCCTGCTCTGCTTTAGACCAGGTGTTCCATATGCAGGCCAACCAAAGGCAGAACCAGTCCCAAAGAACAGAATGCAGCAAGGAAGAAGACGGCGTTGGTAAATGTGACTTTTTTTTCCTTTCCATCCCAGTACACACTTCCTGTCCTGGAGCATCCCCCTCCCAGACCAGTTCTGACATAGCATCCTGTCCCACGTGCATAAAACACAAAGAATGCTGGTTCACTGGACATTTTTTTCAGTAAGTTTTTATTGTTACCTTTCCATTTATGCTACCATTATACATTTAACAGGCTCCATGTCTTCCCTTTTATCAGTGTTCTTGGCTGGGCTGGTCATACGAGGCGCATCTTTAACATTAGTGGCACGGCCAACACTAATGAGGAAATGAAAAAGATGCTCCAGGGAGGACGTATTCCTGGGGTATTGAAATGCACAGACATGGACAAGAAGCAGCCGAATGAGGGGCTCTCTAGGACTGTGAATGGAGAGTAGGTAGAGGAAGATGCTGTGAGAAATGGTCAGCCATCAGATACAGCACATTGCATCCCTCTCCCCTTTTTAACCCATGGAAAATGCCATCTACAAGGAGTCTTACACACTACCTACACCATGACATAGATATAACCACTGCCCCCCAAGCATCCCCTCAGCATCAACAGAAGTGCAAGAAAATTACAGCTTCCCAGATCTCAAAGGTTAGCCTATGTGCTGGCAAGCACTTGAACTTTCTTCTTCAGGACTTTGCATATCCTGATGTGAAATGCTTATGTTGCTTTTTCTGGCCGATTACTCCTGAGTTGGCTTGATCTGTCTGTTTTCATGAATGTATACATTGTGCTACAGTTTGTTTCACCCCAAATAAAATCTTTTCTATTGAATACTGTTCTGTTCTCAGTGTTAAAAAATTCACGGTTGCCTATAGGACACAGACAAAAAAAAAATCACATAATGTAGTGATATGCTTTTTTTGAGACTTCTCTTGGCCAAATTATCACGTCTGAGTGTTTAGACTCTGCAAGCTGTTCATCTAACCTTGCTTGTAAAATTTCCAAGTGTCCATAGGCAGAACAGATTTGATCACATTAAAGAACAATTCAACATCCCCAGTGATGGTGGAGAAAGAAAACACATGGGATTAGGCATTCAAAAATTGTCATGTGAATTGGAGATGGGACAAAGCGGAGAAAAAGTGTGTGGAAAATGCAACCCAAACACCTGCATACACCTGCATTTCCTTTAGTGCAGCATCAGCATCCAGAAATGTGCCACTCAGGTTCCAAAATGCATTGCATGGGAGAATGCTGCCACTGGCCTACATGCCCACATTGTGCTTCACCTATAGCTGACACAGCTGTTGGTGGCAAGGGTACACAGCACTCACACAATCAGCAGCCTGCTTGCACACTTTGGTGCCTCAGGACAGTTGACTGCTGTAAGCCAAGAGGACTTTTTTTTGTAGGTGAAGCCCGCCATGTGTACAATGAAACCTAAATATTGTTGAGCAAGGTTTGCAAATATTAAACTATTTCATGCAGTCTAAAAGTAGTGTTCTTGCTTGTCTAAAAGCGACACTAAATAAAACTTTAATCAAAGAAGCACTTACACCAGTATATTTAGTACTAAGGAATATTCTTGACACAAGTTAAATAAATAGCTTTCCCAGAAGAGGAGATGGTGTTACATTAAGCTTCATTAATAATAAAACTGGCTATTAGCATTTCGCTAGAATGGCTAGAACTGATTTCCTCTGTAATGGGCAAAGTTAAATAACTACAGCTCATAAGTTTAAAGTCAAATACTGCTCATTCATTGCTACTGATCTTGTCAATATTTTTCTGTAAAGGTTTGGTCTCAACACAAGGCTGATAAAATGGTTTTTAATTACCAGACTATAAATACAGCATTTCATTGGAGTTGCACCTCCACTCACTGCAGCTTGTTTGATTTCTGATAATGTGTACTGCTGACTTTGCTTACCTGTTTTTCAATAAATGCAGGCAACGTGACTCCTTGTCCATATAGAGATGGGCAAGTCTCCTTAGAGAACGTCTTTGACAAACTACTGTATTGATCACTGCAATTCTGTGCTGCTTGCAGCATTAAATAGAGACTTGATTTCTTGTTCAATGCTCTCACTGTGTAACAATTAAGCAAATGTAATATTTTCTTGTATTACATGAAAATCAATAGACCTCTTGCTCTTGTGGAGTTGATCATGCTAAAGGATGAACTGGAAGATGGCTGAGGGCAGAGTTCAAATATAATATCATTCATTGGATTCATTAAGACTTGTGTGTGACCCATTGGAACACTTAAAGAAAAATACACCGTTCATAAAGGATGATGTTTTCACGTACACAAATGTGAAATATAATTATTGAGTTACAGCTAATCACTTTTTTGGAGAACAGAAATTTCACTTGGCTTCAACCAAAAGGGCTCACTTTGGCTTTCGTTCTTTTTGAGGTTCTTTTTGTGACTAAGATCTATTCTTTAGTCGTGTTCTGAGTTCAAAATGAAAAATGTTGAGGGGCAAGATGCATCCCAGGTGTACTCTTTGCCTAGAAAAGCTTGGGATAGGCTTCCAAGCCCTAAGATAAATCTCTGAAGCCTTGTCTGTGAAGGCAGTATTTGCAACACCTAGAAACTGCATGTGAGGATGGATGGGTAATGCTGAGGTTCATAACACCTCAGTGAAAATCTCTGCATTGGGAACTTTTTTTCCTCCTGTCACCATAATCCCTGGCTCTTCTTGCCTCTGTCAGCTCCCAGATAAACTCTGCCGAGAGAACCAGAGAGGTCCATGTTGTTACTGCTATTCCAGGCGCCTGAGACGAGAGTCCCCTCTTGGTTGTTTCGTACAAAGGACCTTAGGAATTAGATTCTGATGAGTGCATTGCCTACAAGTGGGGAGTTAAATGAGTTCCTAGATACCACAGCCTGCCTGCTATTCTTGTCTGTCCTGGGAAAATTCTGGGTGAGGAGGACAGACTGGAAGATGTGTAATATTGGCAGTGATGATGAGCTCGTGAAATTGCTTGTGACAGACCCTACTGGGAGTATGCAGATAAGCTGCTTCCTGCTACACTGACTTTAGACTGTCCAGAGGGATTGCACTGACGGTGGGTTGTAGAAACTCTGCTTGGCTTTTGTTTTCCTTGTCAATCTGTATGGCCATTTTAGGTCTAAGGTCTCAACACATTGCATCAAGTTAAAAAGAGAGAGGAACTTCCCGTGGAGTAGATGCCACGCCACAATTG